AAGCCATGCAGAAGAGCTAGAGAATTTCTTCATAATGCTACTTATGCAGGCTGGCTCAGTGCTGTTATTTTGATACATTCCGTCTTCGTTGACCGCTGCAAGCTTCGCCGGTCATGCTATACCTCCGATGAAGGACGAGCTAATCGAATGGTATAAACTTTCTGATTCCTTTCGTTGAAAGATGATTTCCAACACCAAACACCTTAGTCAACAATACTAAAGGTCAGATAAGACATTGTTTACTAGTAGAGCTTCTGGTTTAGCACCTTCAACAAATGATGAGGCTCTCCCGCCAGCGATATCTCAGGAAGGTCATTCCTGCTCTTTCAGTTTCTTTTCAGATGCAGATCAGGGAGCTGATGGCTAATCTTTTCAAGAGGTTAACTCAGCTTTTGCAAGAAGAAAGAGCATACAGATGTGCTCTCCCTGTGCCAGTCCAGGATACTCAGTTCACCTGTATAGACGTAACGAGTCTAATTTGAGACATAAAACGGTGACAGTTTGCCAATCGGAACGAAGCTAGTGTGTGTACCACAGACCTTCCCTTGCGTAGCCATAAAGGTTGTTCCAGACTTAATTTGGGGTTGGAGAACATAGTCGTGATACGGTACCTCTATCGTATCTGGCCCATGGCAGCATTGCTCCCACTCAAGACAGGCACCACGCCTTCCATGCTTCATCGTAGTGAGAGAGTAGTTCAAACCCCGCATCAAGAGAAGGTAAACGTTAATCCGCCGAGCCTAGTACTCTTATGGTTCAGAAGCAAAGAGAGTCTCACTAATAGAAGCTCCTCAACCTTGCAACAAGCGCTTCTACTTGCAGTCTGGGCCCATCACACGAGCGGGCGAAACGCCAAGTACCGCCCATACCAATGCTGGTATCCTAATGACGCACGACTTCATGCCTACACCCAGCGACATGTAGAATACTTATCAACAAAGTCCGGCTATGCTTCCATTACATTTGCCGATCGCCCGTCCTCGCCCGAGTCTGTCCCCCATACCCACTGCGGGTTTTCCCCGCGCCAAGGCCGCGACGGTGTTTTCCCGCATTTCCGCGGCCCACGGTTGCGGCCTACCTCCGCGACCCTTGGGAATGCGGATATTGCCCGCTCACGCTCTTCATTCTCACACGGGCTTTCTCCGTGTAATTGCTCGCGATACCAGCTCGTACAGGCTGAAAATTACGGGATTACGCTTTACAAAATGTATGATATCTCCCAATCCCTGTCATTTTTTCATGCATCATGCAGATCGCAACCAACTTTCACAGCGAAGAGAAAAAAGAAATGACAGGCATGTTCACACGAAGACGCGCAAGATATCGGACGAAGAGTTCTTGTTGAATTCATTTTCATTATTTGGGTATAGTGCATTCATTATATGCCCTTTTGTTTCAATCATCAGACGCTTCCTGATATCTACAATTACAATTTTTTTAAACCTCAGTCTTCTTCTCGGCGTGCACGGAGGCACCCTGGACGCCATCGGCGGCCTCCTGCTTCTCGTTGTAGACGATGTCACGCTCCTCGGCATCGCGGTTGCCGTACAAGCCGATCTTGTACCAGGGCAGCTCGAACAGGCGGTCCATGCTCTCGAGGGAGCGACCGGCAGTCTCGGGAACGAAGAACCAGACCCAGACACCACCGATGAAGGTGATGGCGGCGAAAGACCAGAAGGTGCCCATGGGGGAGATACCGCCGTGGTCGGTGGACAGGAGCATGTTGGGGACGGCACGGCTGTTGCCGTACTGGTTGGCAAAGTGAAGAGTCATGGCCCACGAAGTAGCGAGGGCACGAACGCGGAGAGGGAACAGCTCGGCAGTCAAGAGGTACTGCATGGAGTTCCAGCCGAGGGCCCAACCGAAACCAGAGATGTAGATCATGGCAATGGCGCCACGGCTGACACCGAGGAGGTGAGTGGGGAGCACGAAGCTCTCGTCGACTCCCAAGAGGGGGACGTGGGTCAGGAAGGCGGCGACGTAGATCATGGCGATGGCCTGCAGAGTGATACCTGTGAGCAGGGCACGCTTACGACCGATGACATCGACCAAGAACAGGGCGCAGAGGATGGCGGCCGTGAGCTTGACGACACCGAAGACGGCAGTGATGAGCAGGGACTCGTTCTGGCCGGTGATGCCGAGGATCTTGAACAGGTCAGGGGCGTAGAGAGTGATGGAGCCGGCACCAGACCACTGGGAGAGGAACTGGACCATGGTGCTGAGGTAGAGACGGTACAGGTTGCTGGGAACGAGGAAGAGCTCCTTGATCTTGCCGAACCAGGTGGCGCCCTTGCTGGCCTCAAGCTCCTCGTGGTGAGCGGCCTGGATGCTGTAGATCTCACGAGTGACGTACTCGTGGTCGACGGGAAGGTGGCGGAGATGGGCCATGGTCTCGGTAGCCTGCTCGATCTTGCCCTGCTTGACGAGGAAGCGGGGAGACTCGAACTGGAAGAAGGTCAAGATGAAGATGATGCCGGCAAACATGATGTGCAGCGAGGTGGGCACAAGCCAGCGGTTGTGGGTGGTGTCACCAAGATGAATTTGGCAGCCGTCTGTACACACACACTTGTTGTTAGCGGGGTTCAAGAGTAGTGAAGCAACTAATGGTTAAAGCTTACAGTTTGTGAAGTAGGCGAGGACAATTCCGAGGTACACGAAGCCAGTGAACACGCAAGTGCAGAGACCACGGACAGAAGCGGGAGCGATCTCGGCGAGGTAGACAGGTCCGACGACGGGGGTCTGACCGACACCGAGACCAGCGATGAAGCGGCCGGCGTAAACGGCGCCAAGGTGTCCGTTGTTGGCCATGAAGATAGCAATACCGATAATCCAGACAATGCAGAGCTGACGAGTAGCCCAGATACGGCCAATCTTGTCGCAAATGACGAAAGCACTAGTCAAATTCATGTTAGTAATGATACCAGAGCCAGGAGGGGAGAAGGCTTACAAGAGAGCACCAGCAACGGAACCGAGCTGAACCATGGCAGAGACGTTGGCCTTGATGTTGGTCTTCTCAACCTCGCTGTACTGGTCGTAGTGAATGAAACGCTGGAAGTCCTTGGAACCGAAGGCACCAGAGATGAGACCCTCATCGACACCACGGGCGGCGCCCATGAGGCCGAAGGAGATGACGGCGAACCATAGTCGCCAGTTGAAGACGCCCTTGGGCTCGCCGAGCTCGCCAAGTTTAAAGACGTTGATGGGTTTCTTGACACCGCCTCCAGCCATTTTGGCAGTTGTTTTTTTTTTTTTTCTTTTTCTTTCGGTGCTCGCACGGAGATATTCGACAGCGGGCTTTGAAAAAAAAAGAGAAGGGAGGAGGGCGTGAGGGTTGAGGTATGAACACGACGGTTGAGGAACCAGAAATCCGGGGGAAAGGCGAAGAGAAGGGATGGTATTAATACTCGAGAAGACTGGGGAAGAGACGAAATGGGTTCGGACTAGCACAGCTCACATGAATAACCTATATCACAAATGTAAACTCGACACGCGCGCGCCATACGACTGGTATTCCCCGCCCTCTTTGCCAGATGACAACCAAAGGTCAATGCGACCCCGTGGGAAAAGGGTCGAAGGCATCGGCGGGGGAGACCATGCCGACTATCCAATCGCTCAACTTCCGATCCGCTGTCGTGAAAATTACGAGGGGAGGAACAAGCGAATGTGTCCCTGTTACGAAACTCTACAGGGATGGCCAGAAATGGGGGGATGGGGATAAGACATGGAGATGCGTGGGGAGAAGAAGCGGCCGGCGCTGGTGCGTGAAGTGGGCGGAAGCTTGACCACATCTAGCCATGGTGACCGCACACCAGCAGCTTTGGGGTAAGTTGGGGAAGAGGAGGAAGAGGATTCGAGTCGAGGGGGGGGTTGGCCAAAAATGGAGCGGCAAGTTCTCCGCTGTTCATGTTAGTTGACGCGCCCATTCTTCTAGTAATCAAGCTACTTTTTTTTTCTTCTTTTTTTCTTTACTTATTTCGCGCATCTTTGCTGTAATTATCTGCATATATCCACAGTGATATGCAGAGACAACAATATTCTCCGCTTGCGTTAGTAATGGAGGAAGCGGACTCTAGATTTTGAATGCTGAAAGTCCAAAAGTTGACTCCGAAAAGCGATACGACGGAAAAACAGGCGGAATCGACGGAAAATGCTCTGATACAAAGTTTAAAATTTCAGTTATTTGCCTGCCCGCCCTGGAGAACTGGGATGACCGCCCGAGGGCTTCGGACGACTGTTCGTAGCCCCAGGATATAGCCTACAGTAAAGCCATAACGGTCATCTATCCGCGCATCCATCACCAATATGCTCGCTTTCTCATATTTAGGCCTCGTCCAGTAGTAGCCTTTGGGATCGTAAGGAGACTCCCGCAAGTCCCCGTAATGCAACACACCAACAGATAATACCACGGACAAAACATGCAGTAGCTTCGCATCTCAACAGGATAACCCTCGCCCGGTAAAAAAAAAAAAAAAAGCAACGCCGCTGACAACACTAACAGCGTGGCCGGGAACGATTGTAGTTGGATTCCATCCAAGAGGGTGTGATGCAACACAAGGCCGCCTCAAGGCTTGTCTGCACCGACAAGCAGAGCTACTTCGCGGTCGTTGAACTGGGCCAAGAGTTCGACACACGACGATCCCGCCGGCGCCAAGTGACGTGATGTTCCTTGGAAACGGTCTTGGTGTGCCAAGTGCGCGGCCAAGTACGCAGCCAAGTCGGGCGTGGCGGCAGGGGGGCGGCATCCAATGAGTACCCCTGTGTTAGTTGGGTGGGAATATGGCTCCGCATTCTCCGCGCTATGGGAAGTTTGGAGACGGCCATTTCCCCGCAACGTCCTTGAACCCCAAAAGGTTTCTCATAAAAGAATTGCTGTGCTCTGACTCGTTAACAACCGGTTCTGGTTTGTTGTTGCTGACCAAATGCTGAAAGAACACTGCAGCACCGGAGTACAATCTACGGAGAAAGGCCCATCGCAAAAGCCCCATATTGTCCCATGATCCATGACAATCTACATAGTACGTGGAACCCCCCCAGCTGTAGGTAGGCTAACGCGCACCGCTTCCACAGCTTAATCATTTGCAAGAAGCAACCAATCCCTGGCTTCCATCTCGCAAGTTCGTAGGCGGCGCCGCGGTTCGCCGTCGGCCGGTGGGCCAAGTCGGACTCTTTGGGGATAGGTCGACGGGGTTTGTCCGCGCATGTAACTGCCGCTCGGCCATCTTCCGTGAGGCGACTACCGGCTCACACACTCTGACCGACGACTGCCTGCGTGGTTTACGCCCGCGGAACCTTGAAATCGAGTCATACTGGCAGCAGCCCCTTGTACGGTTCTCCGTTTATTGTTACATGAAAGATGCGTACGACCAGGCCAGGCCCATCGGGCCTCGACCGACAATTTGCCTCCCACGGGCCAACTTTTACATTTAGTAGTGTTACGGGCTCCAGCGCCATCTCATTCCCCCTCAATCCTGCGAAACGAGATGGATCTGGGCTCGTGAGGCCCCCGTAGTTTAAGCTTACATCCAGTCTCGGCCAACCACGACCGCGACAATTGCGCCGTGTTACGCCGGTGATTCGTGAGCATAAAAGTTCCCATCAAACCTAACCAGGATAACCGGGCATCCAGCTCCCTTTTTTGCCCACTTTCTCGAACCCATTTCCCCCGAAGTGCCTCTCCAGGTCCCCTACTTTATTACTTGTCTAACCCCAAAGTCTCCACGGAGAAGCTTCCTTCAATGGGCCCGTATGAAGGGCGGGGAGGGGCTGGAGGAGGAATATCTAAGCGCTCTACTGACAGCTCGGGCTCAACCACCCATCTCCGCCCACACTCTGGACAAACCATCTCAACAATCCGAAATTTTATGTGCCAACAGAATCCACTCGTCACATGGCGAAGAGGAACGCCGATTGCTTTGCTCCATAGTCTTCATGCCAGGCAAAACCCAGCTACTCCACGGCCAAGAATGTAAATGACTAGCTTTGCGGAGATACTTGGAGCTTTGCAATTTAGATTCTCATACGATGTCTATAATCTTTGATAGTCAGCGTTGGTCACAACGTTTACTTAACAATTGCAAATATCAACCGCCAGAAATTTCCAAATCTCACTCGATTCGGAGCCTACGTAAAGAACAAATGTAACTGATCGACAAAGTTTTTCCCACGTCCAGAAAAAAAGAAAAACAAAAATTTCCGCTTTTGTGCGTGTTTACGTAGTGATTAATTCCTGAAGTTGGCGTGGTCAAATTTAACCTTACACAAAGCAATTTCCGATTTGACTCACCGGTGCTCTCACGCTCCTGAGTCGTCGCCGCTTGGGTTTTCATCTTCCGAATCCTCTTTTCCGTAACGCCCTAGCCATTTGCCCTCGGTGCACCTCTGCCAGTGAGCCTCTCCAAAAGCGGCAATCCACTCTTTGGCGAATTCCTTGTCAAAGATCCGGAGTAGCAGCATGTGCGCCGGGTCCTCGCCAATGCCGCACATCTCGCAAGGGGCTTCGACGGTGTCCTGGTCTTCTTGAAAAAGGGTGAGGATCTCGTCACAAGAGCCGAAGAAGCACATGCAGCGCTCGGTTGCCTTGTCACATACCTTGCGGCGCACAACGACCACGTGTGCGCCTTTGCATCCGTACTGCGGGCTGCCGTTTAGTGCAGCGACGCAGTTGGCCGAGGCGATCCACTGGATGCACATGGTTTTTGGACTCCTAATGTTTGTTTCGTTTGTCTATGTGTTTTTTTGTGAGTAATAGTGCGATTTGCTTGCGTCGTAGCCGAGATGTGATGTGACCTGCTGTTGCGTTGCTTTCTGGTCAAGCAGGGGATGCTGGGTTACATGGGTTGGTTAAATACTGGAGATCGAGGTATAGAACGCCTGGTGACAGTCGCATTGTTCTGATTGTTCTCGATGTTCTGGTGCGATGATGTTGTTTGTTTGGATGTACATCATGAACAAAACAAGCCCCTGGTTTGCCATGGCTTCAGTGCCTAGTAGTGATCAAAATCAAAACAAGTAGCTTTTTTGTTCCAGCAACAGTCCCAGTCACAGATCCATTGTCTTTAAAGAGAAAATTATACTTTTCTTAGTCTTTTCCTGATTTTAAACTATATTCAGATAAAAATGTTGTTCAAATGACGTTCATAGAAGCATGCCAAGTATGTCTTGGCAGAGATTGTTCCAAGCCCTCCAAGCCTCTAAGCCTCTTGGCATCAAGAGGAGGGTCTCCAGCCAGAGCCTCAACAGCCCCAACCCATAAAATGCACATCACGATATAAACTATTTTGGTAGTCTAAGTGAATGCCGGCAGGATCGAACGGGAATTCCCTTCCCGTGAATCTAATCCGAGTCCCAGAATCTTGGGTAAGATCGTTGCCGCATAGCCGTGATAGATGTCCAACCCGTGCGTCGGAAAAATAGATCAGACCCCTCCTCCCTTAAACAAAAATCCCCCGCGCATGTGCCATACTGAAAAAGAGTTATCCGGCACTGGGACATGGTAAACGCTCCAAATCAGGAAACCTTACCCCCGTCACTTGGGGCCAGACTTCCTTTCCTCCGGGCCAATACCAATACCGGTGGGCAATAACACGTTATGGCACCACCGTCGCCCATTAACCCGAACTTGAAATCCCTCCAAACAGGGCGAAATGTTCACCCTGCGGATCCCCCTCCCTCCCTCCCCCCAGCGCCCTTATGTTGCCCCAGCCTTCCCCAACTCCCCCAAAAGCACCCTCGCCCTCTCCGTCCTCTCGTCGTCGTACCCCGCAAAATGCGCCAGCTTCTCCGCAGCCATCTCTGCATACTTCCTGCCCAATTTGACATCACCCATGTCTATATAAACCCTGGCGAGGATGTCGTAAAAGTCGCCCCTCTGCGCCGTCAGCCCTTCCTTCTCCAAGATGACATCCACTTCGTCTGCCAGCTCCCCAATGAGAGTAGTCGACGAGCGGAAAACAGGGTTGTCAAGTGCCGAAAGGATTTGCTGTATGCGTTCACGCCGGCCATCTGACGCCGCCACGATGTCGCTAGAGCTGCTGCAGAGGGAGCAAGTGCAATTAAAGCCCCAGTCTTTGAGCGTCTTTTGACGGTCCTCATAAATCATGTTTAATGGAGCATCTATTTTTTTTTGTATTAGTATGACTGTGATGGGGGCGGCGCCGAAGGATTTGGGGTTCTGACAACTGATGCTAAGTTCTTCGCCTGCCTGGATATCCCGATACGCAAACACTTCTAACGCCAATGTTCTTGGAGAGAAACGAGTTATTGCGCTAGAATTAGGTAAGTCTGTGGTTTTTATGTCATCAGGAACTAGTAATGACTAACTTTGGTCTGCAAGCGTGGTTAATTCTCTATTCTCGTGTTAGTAAGATTATACGCCCTTTGACAACAAAACAATCTTACCGCAACTCCTGGAAACAACCCATAATGGCTGGCATTGTTAAAAGTCACGCCAAAAGTGTTCGTCCGGATAGTATCTTCGAGAACATGGCCGCCCGTGCTCCTCGCAAGATTAAACACCTTCAACTGATCTTTCGTCGGCAGTCGGATGAAACCCTCCTCTAGCACCCATAAAGCCTCTCCTGCATCGATTTTCCCCGACAACTCCGTCGACGTTGTCTGCAAGATTGCCGGATACTCTCGCATGATGACGTTACCCGCGGGAATTGTCGAGTTCACCACAATGCCGAAACCTTTACCCGCCATTTCCTTGACCTCGTACGGCGCTGTCTCGGGCAGCGGGAACAAAGGGCCGGATTCGAGCCATTGCGTATCAAAGTCATCAACAAAGCTAAGGTCCCCGGCTGCCACTTCTGGACTGGTGAGAATGAGTATGCTCGACTCCCCACGGAAGTCATCCTTGACGAAAGCGCAATACCTGGATTTCGTCTTTGCGCTGGTACAAACCGGCCTATGCGTCCAGGGACGCCAACTAGACACTGTAGAGGCTCGGTTTTCACTAAAAGGAAGAGAGCAAGCCCTCTTGCTTAGGTGAGGATTGAGCGGACCGGCCGGGTTCCAATCACACTGGTGAGCTCCATTGTCATCAATTACCCCAGTTTTACCTAGTGCTCCCGCAACGAAATAGCCAACTACTATGGAAGAAAGAATACCCGCCATTTTTCTTTTTTCTTTTTTTCGAGGAGGAGGTGGGAAAACTGGACTAGATTTTACACACACCAGCAAACCGAAGTTGCCGAGCCCGAGTCTTTATTGGGGTTTCAAGTGGACAACCTGTCACGGTTTCCGGTTACCTTGCCGTCAAACGATGTGGTTACCACCGTCACCCTACCATCAGAATAAGCATGTTCATTTAGCCGCCAATGCGACCACATTTGGCGATCGGTTCTCGGCCGCCGAACTACACTAGCCCAGGATAGATCCCGTCGTGCAGGGACGGAGGTTCGCAGCCCGCGATGCCAAGCCCGCCAAGATGCTTGGTTTTTGGAGAAAGGCGCGCCATGTGGCCTGTCAAGGTATACCCAAGTCAAGAGGGGTTTGATATTGAGCCATGGCATTGTGGCGGGGTTTTCTTGGAAGAGTCTTGGACTTTTCTCCAAAGTTAAGAGAAAGGAGAATGATCTGCCGATTGGGGGGAAATCATCTCTCACGATGTCGTGATGCTTGGCACTCGAGTATTTTCTTCAAAACTCTTCATTGGGTACATTGAGAGAACTCAGACTATAAACACGAGAAAATGGTATTGTCAAGTCACTAACAGATTTGTCCGACTTGAGGAACTAAGGCAAAAAAAAAAAAGATATGATGTTTGGTCAATCGCTGACGGGAATTGAGCCCGACGTGGCTGGTTTGTGTTAGTGATGCTGATACCATTGCAGGTCTGAGAAGATGGCGCTTACGGGTCGAACCCACAACCTTGAGATTAAGAGTCTCACGCTCTACCGATTGAGCTAGCCGGGCAGGCTATGAAGGTGGTTGATGATATCGTCAACGGCAAGAAGGTCAAGAATTGGAGGGTTGTGGGGGGTTCAGGGTAAGAAACACGTACCCACCTCAACACCAACTTAGCCCCATGGCGAGAAGCAAGGGTCTTCCGAAAGACCCGGAAGACGCGGACGTTTTTACGGCGGTCCTCAGCGACAGGACGGGACGAAAGGAGGCCGACCGGAGGAAGTTCGGGGGCCGGGTTTTACGAAGTTTCAATATCGCGGACCGAAAACATGCGGCCGACGCTCGGATAAATTCAACTAAAGACGGGTTCGGCCAGGTTTAACAACCGATATACAAAGGCACACTTCGGCATCACCAACGGGGTAAATAAGCAGAACATTCGTTCGGATCGGCAACGCACCCAGAGTTTCATTATATTGTTACACTACAAGTCAGGGGGTATTATCCGGCATATTGAAGTCGACTTCATCCGAAACAAGCCAACCACTTAAACCGCCGACTCCGTCACCAGAGCCCAGCACTTCCTCATTCCGGTTCCCATCGACTCGTCCTCAATCTCCTCGACCGTCGCCCACTTATGCCGATCATGCTTAGAAGCAAGATCCCCCGACCCTTCCGCTTCGAAGAGGTGAACATGCATGGTCAGTTTTAGGTGGGAGAAGAGCCACGGCACGCTGCCTATTTCTCCCATGTGCCGTAATTTCAGCTTCTTACCGCCGCTAACCAGGTCCGACACATATGCCTGGGCGTCCCGTTTCCGCGATGCCGCCGAATTGCTGGTCGCGGCTGGCAGAGTATGACTAGGCAGCTCCCACAGTCCAGCAAGCAGGCCCTTGTCAGGGCGCCGGTGGATCAAGAATAGCCCGTCAGCGCGTCGGATGGCGCAGACCAGTGCCTCTTCCTCCCGTACCGCCTTTTTGACGACCTTGAGAGGGAACTTTTTCGCGTGATTGGCTATGATTTCTAGAGTTTTTGCGTCTAGTGACTGCTTGTTCGGCGGCGTCTCCTTCTCCGCAGCCTTGGAAGTGAACTTGAACGCTGCCAATGTGGCTTGCTTCGGCCCCGTCCCAGGTTTAGCCCCCTTGACTACCTTGGCCGGCTTTTTCGGGGCGGCGTCTGAGTCCTCGCCTGATGCAGAGCCCTCATCAATGTCTTCTTCAAAGGGCTCGCATATTGAGCACAAATCTTCAATGTCCTCCACCTTCGTCGCTTTCTTCGGCTTGGCAGCCAGCGCGATACCTTCGGCGTAGGCCCGACACGTCTTCGTAATGGGACATTCGGCGCAGTTGGGCTTGGGTGTACAGACGGTGCTTCCTAGCTCCATCAAAGCCTGGCCCCATCTCCCAGGCCGATCACTCGCAGGTGTCTCGGTGTTCTCCTTTCCATCTCCTGCAACCGCATCGCTCGCAACCGCTTTGACGAGCGCATCCGCCGCCGCCCAAAGCAGGTCAATAATCGCCTTGTCCGTCTTCACGTTCCCAAAAATACCCAGTTGTCGACTCAAGACCCTCAGCACGTTGCCATCCACCATCGGCGCCGCCCTGCCAAACACAATGGCCGAGATCGCACCGGCCGTGTACCTCCCAACACCAGGGACCTTGGCTTCCATCTCCGATGTGTCGGCCGGCATCAGACCCTTCCACTTCTCATCCCCAACAATGAGCTTCGCGGCCTCGTGGATCCGCGTCGCGCGGGAGTAATACCCCAGCCCACGCCACGCGCTGAGCACGTCTTCAGGTTCAGCAGAGGCGAGGTCCTGGATTGTGGGCCACCGCGCCATCCATCTGTTCCAGTAGTCGATGACAACCGCCACGCGTGTTTGCTGCAGCATAATCTCGCTGATCCAGACCTCGTAGGCGCGCTTCTCGAGCGCCCGGCGGAGGTCCCCTGGGTCCGGGACAGAAGCCGGATCTATCCAGGCTTTCCGCCAAGGCATCCCTCGAGTAGTGCTGATTGAGTCGAACCAGGATAGGAGGGCATCTCGTCCATTTCTTCCCGATTGACCATCTAATAATAAAGGCCGGTGGTAAGAGGTTGCGTGCGTCCTTGATGGGGGCATACAAGGATCCTTGATCACCTCTCGCGAGGAACTAAGGAGGTCCATGTGCAACTTGGCCGCGTCGGATTTCTTGGGTTTCTTTGATTTCTCGACTCTCCGCCGCTTGGGTTGCGGTTCTGCAATTTCATGGCCCTCATCTTGCTCAGCGTCCGGAGTGAAGTCCGCTTCAGACGCGTCTGTTTGCGCTGGAGATGATCGAGATTTGGCGGCGACGTGCCGCGTCTTGGGCTTCGGCACCGCTCTCTGGGGTTCAAAATCAGGCTCGTCGTCAGCTTGCGCCAGTATCCTCTTCGCAGCAGCAAGAGAGCTTTGTCGACGGACGACGTAGCGCTGCATGACTTTTGAATGTAATAAGGGCTGTCGTGGATTCTTCACTTCTCCGTCAACATAGATCGCGTCCAATGCCAAAAAATTTAAATGGTGTTTGGCACTGAACGCGTCTTCAGGTGATGTGCCACGACTTAGCGTCGATTTGGGGGAACCACCGCTGGAACTTGGATCGCCTTAGGGGTCTAGGGCCCCTGCATTGGAGCTTCGTTCCCTGTAAACTATATCCATCGATCCCATGCGGCCGACCATAGCTGCAACCTAGTGCCGTTGCTTTATGTCAATCATTGCGAAAATCTGAAGACCTGCTGCAACAGATTATTTATCTTTTTAAATGCCTAAATGCAAAATTGCAGGTGGCTTCACAAAATGAGGCATGTCAATTTATGGAGCAAAAACAAAAAATTACAGGTCCTACCAGGATTCGAACCTGGGCCTACGGAAGGATCTGATGATAGTCAGAATCCGACGTCCTAACCAACTAGACTATAGGACCTTATGTTGCTCAACTACTTGAGGAAAATCACCTCATTGTAAAATATGTATTACCAATGTAATGGAAAAGCCCTTCATTACCCCGAACACCAGGCGAAACTCAAAGACTATTTTGTATCAATTGTGCTATTTTCAATTTCATTTATTAGGCTTTTGGGTTGTCTATCGTCTTAAGTCATACTGTGCAGTTATGCATGAGTTACTCGGTCCAGCCATCCCCGGCGCAAGTCATCCAGTTGACGCCGACAAGCTTCAATCCGTGCTTCTCTGCAAACTCGGCGGGTTTCCACGATCGCCTTTGCACGAATTCCTCTCCGCCAACATCCTCCTTCTTCAAATCGAGACCCTCGGGCTCACGGTAGAGCAGGAAGAGGTACCGGTGAGGCTTCGAGCTAGTGGCACACGGTGTCAGTAGTCATCATTTCGGCTTTTCGAATGACAGCTCCAAGCCCAGCTCTTTGCGAAAGCATTGACTCTGGAAGGGAGAGAAAAACTCACTCATCCTTAGGACCAGGCCCGAGAAATTCGGTCAACGCCGGCTTCGTTTGGGCGACGACCGATTCCCCGCTGAGGGGCTGCAGTCCGGGGAGGACCCAGTGGCGCCAGAAGGCGAACTGCGGGTTGTCCGGTGTGGGCGCGTCCGGGTCCGTGAGGAAGAGCGTGTAAGAAGCATGCGACGGCGCGCTCTCCTCGGCGGCGAACGAAATGCTAGGCACGAGCTTGCACTCTCCCGCGCGGAAGAAGTTGCCCGCGTCCACGACCTTGCCTGAGAACGAAACCTCGAGCTTGGTCGTCGGCTTGAAGCCCTCTGGGATGAGCCCCGCCGCAGAGCCGGGGACGAGCTTGGCTTGCTCGAGCGTGTTGGTGAGCTTCAGCGTATGATCGGCGAGCGACATTTTTGTGATGGGATGTCAGAGTCCTGGTTGAAAAGGAAGTGAGAACTCGAGAATCTGGAAAGGACGGTTTCTTCGCGTTCAAGAAGGAATTTTACAATCGCTTGCGGGCAGTTTTGACCCGAAGACGTGATGCGTGATGACCTACGCGGGGTCAAGCGTGAGATGAGGGGAATTGATGCCAGTGGTGGAAAATTGATGCTGCAGCTGCGTGAAGAGTCTTGGCAACTATAAAGGTGCTGGTCCCGGTCTTGTCAATGTGTTTATCCGAGAATAACGGAAATGGCCTCTTTTCGTGCTCTCTAAGGGTCTTGCGATTGGAATGTTCAGTTATCAGTCGAAGGAGAGAGAGGTTTTGAGCCTGATAGACATGGCCATCAGGTCCCCTGAGGTCATAATGATGGCACGTATTTGCGAAGACAAAGAACCCTTTCTATGGAGTAAGTCTACAAAATAAAGCAACTCCTTGGTTTCATTGATACAACACACCATTTGAACTTGAGAGATGACAAGCAATTAGCCTGTGCACAAACACATTTGAGAACTGCTTGATCTGTATGATCCGGCTGCTTTCTTGTATAGGTTATTGAGCCCCATTTTCGAAGCAGTATGAGTCAAGAACGTTGTCAAAATTCTAGCGCAAATACAAAGAACAAGATAGATTCATCTGGTTACCGTTAAATGGGCGTAAATCTCATAATATTTTACACATGCTTATACACTGTTTTCCCCTAACTGTACAACGAAATACTTTAACAACCTTGATTTTGATAACACTATTTTGCTGCGTTAAGTGGAGCCAGTTGTCTGGACCAAGAGAAACATTGTGGGTCAGCTTTATGAGTTGACTTTCCGGTAAGCCTACCAACCAATCAGATCTCAAATCCCCGATGGCACAATTGGCTAGCGCGTCAGACTGTTAATCTGGAGGTTGGTGGTTCGAGCCCACCTCGGGGAGTTACAGTGGTTAAATTCCACCTTCAATTGAGACCATCTTTTTGTCTTTTGCCTTTTGTTTGTTTCATACGAACTACTTTTTTGCTTGACCATTCTTGTTGTGTTACATAGATTATTTTATTTGTTTTTATCTTATCAGTGCCTACTTGCTGCTTGTCCTTCTCTGTGACCTTGGTCGTCGAATTACTACCATGCTACATAGGTACTACTATACTTACCATACGATTTCAAACCCTTCAGGCTCATAATGGTACAATACACATTCTACGACGTATGGGGACAACATTAAATCAGCTGCGTAAACTCTCACGCTATGATGTTATGCTATGCTGCTTCTTATAGAGAACCAAAATGCCCTTTCCTTTTCTATTTTTTCCATCTATGAACTTGAAATGGATCCCTAAGTTGGCTGCCGGTATAAGGCCATTTTATTACACTCGGGCCACGAACTATCAGTCTCTAACTGCTGCTGCCACTCGATCGTCACTTTAACGACTTTGGCCACATCCGAGAAACAGTCTGCGTTTGTACGATTCACCGCAAAATGTAATAATGCTACAAATTCAAGAGATTGTTATTTTTGGGATTTCAAACTGTCTACGGCAACGTGTAACCACCATCAATCACAAGGTTGGCCCCTATAATCGTCAGTATTCCGAGGCAAGTCAAAGGCAGTGGAAAACGCCTTACCGGTCATGTAGCTGCTTGCATCGCTAGCCAAGTAGACGTACGAGCCCTTCAGCTCAGCAGGCTCACATAGCCGGCCGCCAGGAATCATAGAGAACCATTTGTTTCTCCACTCTTCAGGATGTACCGCGAGCACTAACTTTGTCAGCAAGTCGGCATGCAGAACCAAGAACAGTAAACACATACTATCTGTTGCGATAAAACCCGGGGACACGCAGTTCACCCGTGCGAAGTCAACCCACTCCACGGACAGTGATTTTGCAAGGTGCACAACTCCCGCCTTGCTAGCGTTGTAAGCCGCCTGCTTTTGCGGCACATTAACAAGAATGGCCGACACGGAGGCCGTGAAGATGATACTGCCACGTCCATCACCGCCCGCCTTGAACTGTCTCTCAAACACCTTTGCCGCGGCTTGTGCAGTCCAGAACGCACCGTGGAAGTTGACGTCCAGCATTTCCCTAAATCTATCTTCGGGGTAGTCAATGGCAGGAATGTGATCTGCGATACCGGCGTTCGCAACAACGATGTCCAGTTTTCCATCGCCGACTTCCTTCGCCGCGGCTTCGATAACGGCCTCTACTTCAGCCCGCACTTTGACATTGCACTTGTACGCCTTTACCAGCACGCCATTGCCGGACTTCGATAGCGCTGCGGCTGTTGCGTCCGCCTCCTCAGGCGGGGTGCTTGTGTAAGTGATCGCGACCTTAGCGCCGGCCTCAGCGAGACCGCGAGCGGCTTCGAGGCCGATGCCTCGGGTTCCACCCGTAACAATAGCGGTTTTCCCGGCGAGATTGAAATGGGTGAAAACCGGCGCTGCGGGGTTCGGGTGACTTGGTAGGACCATGATTGCTTCGGTGATTTCAGATGACTAGGTTCTGGATTTAGAATGAGGATTGGCGTGGGCGCTGAGTTCTACTTGAGTCGGGTGGTGCGAATACGGACCAGGGCAGAGGCAAGTGCCGGGGCATTTGTACCGGCCCATTTACGGGAGTGGTGGGTACGTGTGCCGTCATTGTTCAGGACGGCGAATAAAGTTGTCGGTTGACTGTTGTCCGGGTCGGGAAGGGTTGCTTCGGTGCGGGGAATCTGGGGAAGCGGACGCCTGTGACCCCCTGCGCGGAGCTCAGAACGGGACTAATTCGCGAGACCGAAGACAGCCGTCGGTAATCAGCAACGGATGCAGAGCGACTTTGCTTCATAGTAGTTTCGCGGCAGTGTTAAACTGTCACTTACTTACCTGCGATGTGAAAGTAAGCCTGTGAACGTCTACGCTTAGAGTCGGGTGCTCTATATTCGTAGGAATCTAATTCGCAAAGCGTTGTAAATGCATTCCAAGACATGCAACAGAGATGGTTGCACCTGTTATAAGCTATTTTTGACTTGCTCTATGTCACATACGACCATACCCACTGGAAAACTCGGGATCCCGTCCGCTCTCCCATAGATAAGCCAGTGAGGGCCGGATTAGTAGTTGGGTCGGTGACGACCAGCGAATACCTGGTGTTGTATGTTTTTGCATTCATTTTTGCTTGTCCCCCACCCAGTTAGCTGAGTGTTGACACTATCATCGTTTTTTTCAGTGGTCATGTTCATGTTATCAGGCCAGACGTATTCAAAAAGCACACTGATTGTGGAGATAGGTTGCATCATAGATTCCAAACCACACATCAAGATTGAATAATACTCATGGGCATATGAACTTTCTCGTGCTCATAATATTTCATTCACATACTTAATTCAGAATTCTATTTTGGTACACCCTCAATGACAACCTTCAGTGTGTTTTCTTTCGCCTGCCTCACAACCTCGAATGCCTCCAGTGCCTCTTCGAACTTGTATCGATGTGTGATCAACTTTCTCGGGTTCACCTTTCCTGAAGCGACCAAGCTGACAGCCTCAGGGTAGCATCCGGTAGTATATCTGATAGACCCCTTCACATTCAACGCACGGATGCAGGCTGTGGTTATAGGAAACACGACGTTCTAGTGCATCATACGTTAGTAAAATGGGTGATACATCAGGACAGTCGGATGCGCTTACCTCCTTTCCCATGCCGGCCTGAACGTAAGTGCCCCCCTTCTTTGTTGCAAAAACACCAGCTTGGATACAGGGCTCAGCACCGGTGCACTCCAACACAATATCGGCCCCTTCTCCAAATCCATAATCCTTGACAATCTTCTCGCCAACAGCGCGAGCAGCTTCAACAGGGTCCTCGGGCGCGTCAGGAAGCTTCTTCGACACATACACATCATCAGCTGCAAAATCCTTTGCAAACTTCGCTCGAGACTCAGAAATATCCACACCAATGACCTTGCTAGCACCATAGGCCTTAGCAACAGCCTGGCAGAGTACACCAATCGGCCCGCATCCGAAAACAAGCACAGTTTGGCCACCTTTGAGCTCAGCAACCTTGCAGATCTGCACGGCAACAGCGACGGGCTCGACCAACGCGCCATCTTCCGAAGACATGTGGTCAGGAATGGGGTACGTGTAGTCGCCAGCCACAATGTAGTACTTCTGCAGTGTTCCATCCCATGGCGGTGTTGCTGCAAAGACAGTGTCTGCACATAGGTTGTATGAGCCAGCTCTGCAATAATCGCAGCTTTACAGTGTTAGATTGTTTTCATCCACAACTTGAACAAATGTAACCCTTACTGTCTGCATGGCACACCAGGCTCAATGGCCACGCGGTCGCCAACCTTCACATTTTTCACCTTACTACCGACCTCGACAACTGTGCCAGAGCTTTCATGGCCAAGAACGATGGGTGACTCGAGGATGAAGTCGCCAATCCGGCCGCGCTGCCAGTAGTGGACATCACTGCCGCAAATGCCCGTCTGCTCAACGTGCACGCGAACATCGTACTCGTCACGGAGCTTGGGCACTTCGCGATTCTCGAACGAGACGTTCTTGACTGAGTGGAGCACGAAGGCAGGGTTCTAAGAGGGAGATCAACGCTGTCCTGAGAAGTTAGAGGTTATGCAAAGAAGCCTGCTTACTATTTCCGACATCTTGAGATCTGGCGATAAGCTAAATTCAACCCTGATGGCAATGATATCTAGAACAGCATAGAAAATGTTGACTAGACTATCACAACTTGCAAGCATCTTATTTGTGCAAGTGAGAATTTCCCGTGACGTCGATAGCGGGGTACTGCCGCGCCGACCGGAGCGGGGCCGCCGTGAGGGGCCGAGCTGAGGTCGGGTGACTGTTGCCCTATTGACAAGAAGCAGCGAAGTCTATTCTTCAACTAAACATACTTGCTTCAAAGGTGTGTTAGATTCGTGACCGTCTGAATGCCATATACTGACCTATAATTGCCAGCCTCGCGAGGGTCATTAAATCCGATCTACTCGGCAAAAACGGCAGTCATTTGAGGGAGTCCGCCCAAGCCAGCTACTACAATGGAGTCAACTTACCAAAGCCTCGTTCAGCGTATCCTCACTAAATGGGATGACAAGAAACGCTCCTCGTCTGACACACCGGACGCACATCCCCGTCTTATCATCGCGCTAGCGGGGCCCCCTGGCTCCGGCAAGACGACCATCGCCCAGCGAGTTGTATCCGCCATCAACACCTCCTCTGCCCCGCACCCCAAAACCATCGTCGTATCTGCCGACGGATTTCACTTACCCCTGGCCATCCTTCGTGCGCTTCCCAACGCGGCGGAGGCTATAGCCCGGCGCGGCGCACCCTGGACCTTTGACGGCAAGGCGGCTGTCGACCTAATCCTCCAGCTGCGGGCGTCTGCGGGGCAGAGACCTGTTGTGGCCCCGACGTTCGACCACAAAGTCAAGGATCCTGTCATGGATGGTTTCATTGTCGAGGCGGACGTCGAGGTTTGTATTATCGAAGGACTCTACTTGCTTATAGACGAGGATCCTTGGGGTCAGATTGCTTCAGTAGTGGATGATCGATGGCTTGTCACAGTCGAGCCAGCATTAGCTCGGACAAGGGTTGCGAAAAGACACATCGCAGCTGGAATTGAGGACAATATGGAAGACGCTTTGTACAGGACGGAGAGCAATGACATGGTGAATGGGGCTTTCATTGCTGAGCATAGCGAGGGCAGGTATGATCTGTTGATTTCGAGCATAGAAGAATTGCCAAATTAGGCGAATATGAAATTGTGGCACCATGTTCATTCTACACTGCATTATACAGCTCAATTTGGTCTAAGGACTTTCCCCAGCCGGCCCCCGACTTAGTGTGTCGCCGAGGGTGACAGTATTCCGGTGGGCGTCTAATCCCGTCGCTCCTGGGGAATGAGAGCCTTGGGGCCCGGTATCCGGGGACGCACTCTGAGTTGTTTGAAACAAATGAAGCTGAGAAACAGCACATCATTGTGCCACATAAGGCTCGTGTAATCTGTATTTGAACCCCGGTCACGAAGTGCAAACAGAAAGCGCTCGAATTTCAGCTTTCAGCCCTCACTTCGGAAAACAGCACAAACCTTCTGCGGCCTATTGTGCAAGAAAAAAACCTCATTGCTCCGTTCAGATACATCATCTCTTTCCAACACCAAGTTGTTCAAATCCAAAATGACCAGCAACGGTACAACAAACGGTACCAGAAAGTCCATTCGGGCTCCCAACCCGCCTGTTCAGGATAGCGTCTTCAAGCAATTCCGTCTTGATGGACGCACTGTCATAATCACAGGTGGAGCAGGCGGCATAGGGTCAGAGATCGCCAGGGGTCTTGCCGAAGCTGGTGCCAATGTAAGTACTGTCCTCATCGACATCGAACTTGACTAAAGTAGATGCAGATCGCTATCTGGTACCATACGTCTTCTAAAGCGGCTGCTGCAATCACTGAGGGCATTACCAAAGACTTCGGCGTGAAGTCGAAGGCTTACCAGGTTGATGTTCGTGATTACAAAGACGTCGAAGCCGCTGTTGCCGAGGCGGTTAAGGACTTTAGCCGTCTGGATGTAATGATCGCCAACGCCGGCGTGCCTTCTAAGGCGGGTGGTCTGGACGACAAGGTTGAAGACTGGGATCGTGTCCGTGCGGTTGACTTTGACGGCGCGTACTACTGCATGAGGGCTGCTGGTCTTGTCTTCCGGGAACAAAAGAATGGTGTCGGCATTATCACAGCGTCAATGAGTGGGCACGCAGCGAATGTGCCACAGGAGCAAAGTTGCTACAACGCCTGCAAGGCTGGTACCGTAAGTTAATCACGTCGCTTGGTTCTCCAAAAGTGTTTGGACTGACATTGAGGTCGTGTAGATACATCTGGCCAAGTCTCTGGCCGTTGAGTGGGCTAAGTGGGGAGGACGCATCAACTCTGTCTCCCCCGGGTACATCGACACGGCCATCTCGGGTGACTGCCCATTCGAGATGAAGGAGGAGTGGTTCAGCTTGACGCCACTGCGCAGGGATGCTGATCCGAGGGAGTTAAAGGGAATATACCTCTACTTGGCTAGCGATGCCAGTTCCTATACAACAGGAGCCGATTTTGTTATTGACGGTGGTTACACTGCGCGATAGATAAGTTCCAATATCAAGAATAATTTAGATTGAAGTGGTGTGTCTGAGGCGCAATCATCCTGTGACTGCATTGTTGACTTAACCCGGGAAATAATCAAAATTAGCAACAGCCGAAACCTGAGAGACACGTTTCAAATGTTCAAATGGGGTTTTAAAGTAGTGAATTATGAAAAGCGCCTGCAAAATCGATAAAGGCTAACCTATAACATATCCTCTTGAAAGTGACAACATTATCGATAAAAGAATGCGGCTAGTAGTGGTTCCCAGGAGCTTGTTAATCGTCAGGCAAGTTTTAAGTAAGGTGACCCAAAACAAGATTTACCTCTATAATCTGTAAGATTCAGAATTTTGTCTCCCTATGTGGCTGCCAAAGTGTGAATAATCGTCTTGGGATATTACTACGTTTATCCACTTGGAATAACATGTGACTGTGGTAGGACTAGAATGTTTATGTAATGTGTGTAGTCTGAGAGACTTCCGGCAACCTCTAGGAATGACGGCATGTCGTAGATGGAAGTTGGGAATGGTCGTGGGAAGGGAAGCTCGACTGGTCAATTTGTCGTTTTAATAGCATATCCTAGACACTTCACCTTTGGCTAAAGGTTCAGCTTGTATTACAGAACGACGGGAATCTTGTATTGTACCAAATCACACCCAAGAACGCAGGAAATTCGACGGCACGTTGGTCAACCAACACTGTTCATCACGGAGATACAACCATTCTGGATACACAGGCAGATGGAAACTTAGTGCTATATGAGTTGTGATGGAGTGGTAGGACGGCGCGATGGAATTCAGCTACAGCCGATAACAACAACAGTGGTCGTCTGAGAGAACTCAATGTCACGAATGATGGTAAATTATTTCTCCTCGAGGAGGGAAAGGTTATCAAGAGCCTGAGATGAGTTGGATATTGCGACTCCTTGCTCGACTAAGTGGAAGCAAGCCTGTGCGCTCACGCCACTGGGCAGCGACGGAGCCACTTCAACCAAAATTCCGAATATTGCAACAATAGAAGAACAGAACATGCTGACGATGCGCACATCTTGGCCACAGAACAATTTGAAACTAACCTAAGCAGAGAAAGATTGTCTGAAGAAGTGTATTGTCACAGCTGGATCAGCTACACATTCATAGTGAAGGGCGCACCTAGGCGTTCGAATTAACAGTCGCTAAGTATGCTCCTGTATTGTATTCCTCAAGCCCCTTATTCCATATCTGCCTCTGCTGTCTCAGCTACTACGAGCCCCTGTCACTGCGATACCTTGATATTTTGTCTATGAGCTGGGTGGCAGGACTCGCATTAAATCTTGAAGCTAAATTCTTCTTGCTTCAGAAGCCCCGAGATCATGCTTTCATACCTGTGGGATAATATGTACTTGTAACTAATAGTGATATTATGATAAATCGATCAGGTTAGGTAAATAAGGCTTTTGAGGGTGCATACAACATATTCTGTCTCACACATTAAACGTACTTTATTTAACCTGCCTTCTTCACCCCACTGTCAACGGTAAAGAAAGAACTGCATTCTGAGCATCGAGGGATTGACAATCAACACTCATCATAGTTTTATTGCATGTGTAACACCAAGTCTTGGGCCTGTTCTCGACCCCTTGTGAAGCTGTCAGTTAGGTAACCATGGAAGATGTCCGAAGACGAATCCTCGTCCCATCGACGGTGAGGTCTGTCCCCATCGTTTCAGTAGGCCCGAAGTGTAAATACATCAAGACTAAGCAAATATTCCGGTTCGATTTCGTTCTCGCCCGATTATCGAAAGGTCCTGGCGGGCGGTCGTCACTCACCCCTGGCCAGTCTGTCACGGCTGCGTCTTATTGCCGAGTAGAGCCCGCATAACCTTGGCACTAACACTAGTTCACCAACTGATATGGTGCCTCAGCCCCCACTCAGTGAGGGTGACAGTCGTCCGTCATCCCCGCATTCCTAATCATAACAGGGGTTGGTTCCTTCGCAAACATGACTCGTATGCGCCGGTACAGAATATCGTAAGTATGATGATGCAACAGTTTGCAGACTGACCTGTACCCCATGGGCTAATCCCTCCGTATCCCACCGACCCATTTACCACGTTATGTGGGGTGAAAGGAACATGCGGAGAGTTGGCCCAGCGTGGGTGTCACAAGTCCCAACTACTTGGATGAGCGTTGGCATCGCGTGTCCGTAGAGATCTGTAGACGTCTAACTCTTTCAAGAAAATATAAATCTCCTGCGGGTCCCTCGCAATCTACTATCGACATTTTTTTTTTTTTTCGAAAGTCGGACTTGCTCCAGTTGATTCCTGTTGGATACTTTAGTTTGACTGTTCAATGCCGGGCACGCGACCTCGGATATAAGCAGATATGAAGGACGAACAAATTGTCGGCGCCGCCTTGGCCGAAGTGCTTCCCAAGACGGACAAGTACTGGTTCCAACAACCTCATCTGCTGAGGTTGAATTTGCTACTTTTGGTTCCCCTGCTGTCCTCATCGGTAGCAGGATATGATGGTAAGATATACTGGTCGCCACAAGTCTACCTGTTTCCTAACAAACGTGACCCACAGGTTCGTTGATGAACGGACTACAGTCATTGCAGCAATGGCGCGACTACTTCGGGAACCCAACTGGCGCGAAGCTAGGTGTGGTAAATGCGGCACAGTCTATCGGATCCGTCCTCGCTCTCCCAATAATCGGATACTTGGCGGACCGCTTCGGCCGGAAGCCAGTCCTCCTCTCGGGTATCTTCCTCATTATCGCCGCCACAATCATCCAATCGACATCAGTCAACCTTCCCATGTTCATCTTTTCGAGGCTTGTGGTTGGGTTCGGTGGCATGTTTGTTGTACACCCGAGTCCGCTGCTCATCGCCGAGCTGGCCTATCCAACGCATCGAGGAAAGTACACTTCGGCGTACTGGACAATGTACTACCTTGGTACGTCTTTGACCACAGAAGTTTCTTTCTGACTTTCTTGCTAATTAAGGTACCTTCGTAGGTGCTATCTTGGCTTCCTGGACGACGTTTGGCTGCCAGAACTACCAGAGTGATTGGTCCTGGCGAATTCCTTCGATTTTACAAGCCGGTTTCCCTCTCGTACAACTCAGTTTCTACTCCTGGGTCCCCGAGTCTCCTCGGTGGTTAATTGCAAGAGAAAGGACGACAGAAGCGGCTGAGATATTAGCCAGATATCACTCTGGAGTGCTTGATCCGAACGAAGGCCACAGCCCCCTCGTCCGTCGCGAAGTCGCCGAGATTGTGCAGGCGATTCAGCAAGAAAAGTCTGCCAAAACAACGGGCTGGATGGCCCTGGTGTCCACTCCTGGAAATCGCAAGAGGACACTCATCGCAGTTTGCGTCGGAGCATTCGCTCAGGTAAGTAATCCTCTTCTTAAACCCCTTGATTTGCTGAGCTAACCCTTTCGCTACAACAGTGGAATGGAATCGGGCTGGTTTCTTATTATCTCACGCTCGTCCTAAACACGATTGGAATCACCGACACGTTTGACCAAACCTTGATCAACGGTTTATTGCAGATCTTCAACTTCGCGGCAGCTCTCAGCGCCGCCTTCCTTGTAGACCGCCTCGGCCGTAGAACGTTGTTTCTCGCAAGTGGTGTCATTATGCTGGTTAGCTACGTTATCTGGACCGCTTGCTCGGCAGTCAACTCCGATACGGGTTCCAAACCCGCCGGCATTGTCGTTGTCGTCTGCTTGTTCACATTCTACTTCGGATATGATATCGCCTACACACCATTGTTGATGGGTTACCCAACGGAGCTGTTTTCGTATTCATTGCGATCTAAAGGTATCGCTGTTGAGTTATTAGCGATTTACGGTTCGCTCATTATCGCCGCGTTTGTCAACCCTATCGGCATGGAGAACATTGGTTGGAGATATTACATTGTTTACTGCTGTCTTTTGGCAGTATTTCTCTTCGTTACTTGGTACTTGTTCCCGGAGACCAAGGGGCATAGCTTGGAGGAAATCGCTGTTATTTTCGATGGGCCACAGGCTGTAGAAGATTTTGAAGACAGCTCTGATTTGAAGGAGGAGAAGATTCTCGCGAATGGTGGTCTTAGTACTGCTGTACACAAGGAGACGGCGTAAAGACGCTTGATTATTGTCGTGGCTCATGGTCTAATAAACAGAGAAGGCCGCTTCCCGGATGCAGGAATTAATATTTGAAGAACATCATAACAAAGGAAGCCTTTTAGGCCATTCCGCATTCGAGTGTTTACTTCGTTAATACAAACTGTATAATTTTCATTGGGTGTTTTATCCTTCTAAGTCCACGTCTTTGCTAATATTGTCTGCGCTGCTCTTCTCTACTGAATCAACTCACCCTCAGGCTTGGCATTCATCGTTCTTGGCGAGCCTCAAGCCCGGTATGCCTACCCTGCGGAACGTTACGGAATCCTCTCAGTTTCTGTATAGCTCATTCAACTGCCTCCTCTCTGTCATGCCCGACTAACACCGGGCGGAGCTCGGATTGCAGGGATCTTTCGTTCAACCCCGGATCGCGATCAGTCACATTGTGGATCGCAGTCAGCGCAAGAGTGTGGAGAAAGGGCGGGGTTCATGCACTTGGAGACTTGGAGTTGAAGTTCAAGCTTGGGCAAGATGAGGAGCCTGCTCCGACCTCGTCCGACCCGCACCACCTCGAGCGCACGCACCAAACAGCACTTCCGCTCCTCCTCATCCGTCTCCTTGCTGCATGCTCATGTTATGACGACGTTCATCCAAAGACGGACGACAACCGCCCTTCCCAACCGGCCCATGTCGTTCCGGTCTGCCAGGCACTCAGATTCCCGAAGCTTGGATCGCGATTGAAGCCACCCCTGAAGCTTGAGGTTATCAGTTGTCCGGATTAGTCTTACTTGATTTGCTGGGGAGGGAAACAATATCATCATCAGGCCCCATCGGCGACAATTCGGGAGCGTCCCTCTCGATGGACCCGGCCTCCTCGGTCAGCATGGCCTTCGCATCTGCCGATCAGGCATGCAAGGAGTGCCGGAGGAGGAAGGCCAAGTGTAACCGGGCCATTCCAACCTGTAACCTCTGCGTGAAGTACCGGCGTCACTGCCTCTATGAGAAGCATGCCCGGACGCCGTTGACGAGGAAGTATGAGTGACCCATGCATGGGGGCGGTTGGTGGTGTCGTAGCTTGGTGCTTTAGTAGGAACATTTAGCTTACACATATTGCAGGCACCTTACCGAAGTCGAGGAGAGGTTAGAACGGGCCGAGGCGCTCATCACGCATATGCGGACCCTGCTGCCGGCCCAGAGTAGGTCGGGGCCCTCTTTGAGCACGCCAGATACGGTCGAGCCGCCGGCTGAAAGAATTAACGAGCCTTTTGATTTTTCAAGATTGGACCCTCCGGTACCGACTGGCGAGAACATAACATCCTCACTGTCTGTTCCTGCCGATGAAGGGCTTGGCATGCTTCCTCAAGCTGACCCGCAGTCTTTACGACATTCTCACCCTGCTCGAGCACCACCACCGCAAAACACACCTTTGCCGTCATCGTCGTATGTCCCAAACAACAACACAACGACACGGCTTTCAAGACCAGCTCCCAAGCACCATTCAAATGACGTCTCCCACAGGGACCTCAACCTCCTCGAAGCTAACCCCACAGATGACTTTGAGTGGGACGAGCAAGAAACTCTCACAAACTACTCAGCCTCGCCCGAAGCAATCCAAGACACGGACGCCAATGGCGAAGTGCCTACGGACCCGATCGCAGATGGCATGGCCTCTCTCGCGGTCAGTGAGAAAGAATCCGGCTACCTCGGCGTCGCATCCGGCGCCGCCCTCCTCCGTCTCCTGGAACCCTCGACATCGCGCCGACGGACTCAATCTTCCTCATCACGAACGGGGCACATCAACCACATGCAATACGCCCTGACCACACAGCCGGATCCAAACAGGCACATCACGGACGCCATGATCGACGCCTACTTCCGCCTGTACCACGTCAGCTACCCCATCATCCACGAAGCGACGTTCCGCGCGCAGTACGCCGGCGTGATCCCTCGTCCCAGCGGCGACTGCTGGCTGGTTCTCGCGTACACCGTCGCCGCCATCGGCGTGTACACGACAGCCACAAACCTTGGCAGCCTCGACGTGTCGCTATTCGCGCAAGCTCGCTCGATCTTGTCCTTCAACTTCCTTGAGGTGGGGAACCTGACGCTCGTCCAGGCACTCACCCTCATCTCCAACTACCAGCAGAAGAGAGACAAGCCAAACTCGGGGTACAACTACCTCGGGCTGGCTGTGCGCATGGCCATGGGGTTGGGCCTGCACAAGGAGTTTCAGGGATGGAACATCTCGCCTCTCAATATGGAGATTCGGCGTCGCGTGTGGTGGTCGCTCTGCGTCTTTGACGTCGGGGCGACAATCACATTCAGTCGGCCCTCGGTATGGCCGAACGAGGGCATCGAGGTGTCTCTACCACTAAACGTCGATGACAAGGTAAACCGCATCCCCTGTATTTGCGAATTCGAGTACAGGAAAACTAAGTATCAACGCAGTCATTGACCGCAATATCCAAATCCTACCCACCTGAAACAGAAGTAATAACACCATACACCGCCGTGCGAACTCAAGCAAGCTTCCACATGGCCACGATGCCAATCTACACAAGGGTAATCTCAAAGCCACTGCCATCGCCAGACGAGATGCTACGCCTAGACCAAGATCTTCTAGAACCGTGGCTGGCCAGCGTACCCCCTTACTTCTCCGAGACGACAACCGTGCCGCCGAAATACGCACTCTCTCACGCCGTGATGAACTGGCGCTATAGAAACCTGCGCATAATAATGTATCGCCCCTTCGTCATCCGCCGCGCCCTACAAGCACGCGACAGACGCCCAGACGACTCTCCCTCCAATGTACGCGCCTACGAGAAGTGCCTCGCGGACGCAAAGGCCACCATATCCAGCATCAGCGACTTCTGGGAGCGCAACGAACATAACCGGCTGGGGGCATGGTACGCGCTGTAAGTCATCTCGACCCATCTCACCACCGGCACCGCTTTTTTTTTTTTTTTTTCGTGATCCTAACTCCATCCTCTAGATATTTTCTCTTCCAAGCAGCCCTGATCCCCTGCATCTGCCTCCGCAATGACCCCAACTCCCCTAACGCCGCAGACTGGCGTCAGCAAGTCACGACCACGACGCGCTGTATCGCCGCCCTTGCCCCCGTGAACTCCAGCTCGTCGCGTTGCTATCAGGTCATCATCGACCTCTGTGGGCGTTTCTTGGATAGTGCCGTCGTGACGCGCGCGCTTGCCCCGCCCGCTGCTGAAGAGACGCAGTCGACGCCCGGCTTCGGCGGCGCAGACGCTCTTCAGTCTGCCCCTGAACCCATTGACGAGAGCCCCCAGACGCAGATCAACAGCGTGTTCTCCATGATGTGGCCCAACGTGCCGCCGATGGAAGCTGCGGATGTGGTGATGGGCGATGATGCTTGGATGGAGTTCCTGAAGGGCGGGGCGAATGGAGATGGGGACGGGATGTGGTTCGAAAACTGATGACCTGCAGTTAGTGACAAGGCAGCTTCATATACGTTCCTTTTCCAGATATGAAGCTGCCTTATCACTAACTGCAGATCATCATCTTTCGTTCAGCTTGCGCCGTTACGGCATTAAAGTTGAAGGGCGTGAACTGGTCGGGATCTATGGCATCATCTTTTCTAGTAATCCTGAGGCGGGCCCATTATCCATTATCAACCTCATCTCAGGAGGCACCATCCTGGCGGTAGTTATCTTGAATGGACAAGAAAGTAACACCATCTGTTGCTGTCGCATTAGAGCTGCATTTCAAGTGAAGGCTGGTTCTCCTGGCAAACATGGTCTGGTATCCTGGTTTACATCCCACTTCGTTGTACCTACCGGCCATGGTCAAAGCTCTTGGTTGAAAGACGTCTGACCAGCTATGTCACTTTTGAGTTGTTGAGGCAATCTTGAAGTTTGACTTACGCGCTTACGTGCGCGTTAATAATAACATAAAATCTGTAATGTGTTTACCGACATTCGACATCTATGAGAAGCGAATATGAATGAAGGTGCTAGCTGTGTACAGCCTTGACTACTAACTTAGCAATTCATCATCAAGCAATTTCTCTTCATGTAGCAAGTCTCTCTCCTCCGTTTTGATGCGTCTCGTGCCTTTTTGTATAACGCTTATACTGTTGAAGGAGTCGTCTCGTGGTGTTCGCCATCCTCTGACACTGCATCCCTTGTGACGATCCGCAAAACGTATTCTATTTCATCCCATGTCGTCTCACGAATTGATAGTATTTGGGCCGAACGCCCTACTGGCGTCTCTTTATCGGTTGTGAGCTTGCAGATGCACCGACACAGCCTGTTTTTTCCTTCCCTTCCGAGGAAAATCTTGCTCTGGTCGTCCACAGGTCCGCCGCTTTTCCAGCCTCTGAAAGAACCAGAGAGGTACGGTTGCCGTTCAGTGAAGAGATCTTTTAACTGAAAATGCTGGGCCCTCCCAAATCCGTCCCTGGTGGAATAGTGTACCCTTGCGAAAAGCTCGAGAACAACATCCTGTTTCTCTCGGTCGCATTTTGTGTGGGCATTCAACAGCTCGCCAACCCTGAAGCAAATTCTCAGTAAAACGTTGGAAGATAAACCCACCACAGGCGAACGGTCTCGTATCTTTACTGGAAATGGCGATCTGGCCAAAACAGTTCGATTCGATGCAGTGTATGAAGTTGGGGTGGTGTGTTTAGCTGGACTATGTTCGCCAGAGGTCTCCGCGATCTGCGCTGCGTAAGCGACGAGGCTCCAGTCAACATCTTCATCAAGAAGGTCGGGCTCCTCAAACGAAGCATCGTCACTAGCCTGGTCGCACTGAAAGGGTGTACAATTCCGTGGCTGCGGGTCCTAGCTCAGCGATGGTCTCGACTCCCGATCCATGTCCTGAGGCTCGCTCGTAGGTAGAGCTCTTGAAGGAGTGTGTGGCTTTCCCAATTGTGCCATTTCTTCCTCGTCAGAATCATCAAAACCATAGTTGTCTTCGACTATAGGAGTAACATTCCGTACAGCCTGGCTTTGGTTTTGAGACAGCCGTTCTTCCGGAGAAGTCAACGAGACTATAGAGTCGGCATTCGGATAGTTTGTCGGAGGCTTTGGGGGTGGGATAACACTCATGTCGTCTCCCCAGTCCAAGTTGACGAATTCGTCCATCCATGATAGATCTGCGTCGTCGTATCCTAGTTCAGTTGCGTTATGCAGTGGAAGCAGCAGACGCTGCGGTGTTTCTAGGCTCTGTATTTCTAGGTTGTCATCTAACGGAGGGGTAGTCTGAGTATATGACGGGTGGAGAGCAGAAACGACATCTTTTGCGTCGGCGGTGACCGTAGCGGAGGAGTTTGGCGTGTTTCGATATGACGGATCATCTCCAGAAGCTCCTGCCGAATTGATTGAAGCATACGATGCCAATCGCTTTGTCGGAACCGCATTCACGATGGCAGCTATCGGTGTCAAGGATCGCTTGCGGCCGTTGATTGGCGTGAAGCCACAGAACGTTGGGCTTGAACCGAAGTGGACATTATCCGCGGGGCTGAGGCGAGGTTAAAATCATGATGAACGAAGTTGGGAGAACGTACCCAGAGACTGGGTCAACCATGATGCCAACCGAATTATTCGATGTGGTTTGATTTTCAAGTTGACAGAGACAGTACGTCGAGGGGCAAGAATAGACATGGATTGAAGCCTTTTGAATTTCAAATATTTATCTAACGGAAATACTGTACAAAACTTTAGGAAAGCCCAAGGGCAAGTGACCAATTCCTTCCTCAAGGCATCGACTTAATTTCGGCTGTCATCCTTCACCTGCAAGAGGAAGGATCGAACCCGAACTTGCATTCTAAGGAAGAGCCAACAGTCAGTTTCCCTTCCTTTAGTAACTTGAAAGTTACATCAAAAGAAACACCGCGGCTTTCAGATAATGATTCAAGGTACAATAATTTCCCAAGGAAACAGGCAGCCGTAACCCAGGATCCGGCCGTCTTGATGCTTCAAGTCATCACCACATGTCCTCGCCGCTGACCTGGCAGCAATCTCGGCGGGAATCCAGAAATATCCATCGATCGCATCGTGACGTCGAGAACGGCACAAAGTCAGTTCCCTTCTCTCCCTCAACTGAAGAACATGAACGTCAGGAGTCACCTGGACTGGGTCTTGGACCCTTTACAAAAGGCCACAAGCGACGCCTTGGCCGATGCCATTCCACAGAGTGAACAACATGATATCATTATCTAGGAATATTAAGGGTCGCGACTCGTGATGCCTTTGTCGCAACTGGAGAGAGACACACGGGGTAGCGCTAGGAAAGGGTTCACTCCACGACGAGCTAACGCCGCACCCCAGCACTGCCCAAGTGCACTGAGAAAAGAAAAAAAACAATATTCAATTTATGTTATATTAAAAAAAAAATAAAAAAACACCAATTAATTGTCTGCTGGCACCTCGGCAAAGAGTGGGTGCCCCCCACTGATGGGCGCCGAGGTAGGCCACGAAGCTATTCGCAATCCCGTGGCTCAGACAACGTAACGGAGGCACGAGAGAGAAGTGACATCAACCTGCAGGGGAAAACATAGTCAGGAGAGCCGCCTGTCAAAACGGAGATCACCAAATACCCGGTCCTCCCTCCCGTATCTCGATGCCGTAAACCAAGCGCGATGCCACTACCTCGGCGTCGATGAGGGCATTCACAAGCAGTTACGTCAGAAGGGCCACATGCCCAAGGACCCCTTCACCCTTTTAAACCCAAGCCGTATGGTGAACTGTCTCAGCGCCACGAACGGCTCCATGTCTTCCCCCCTCCCGCAAAAGGCAACTAGCCCACGGCCGAGGAACGCTGTGCGAAGAGGATAGACTGGTCTCAGATGCAGGCTAGGATGGAGGGAGGCAGGAAGGAGGGTTAGTGGCCGCAGGGCTTCTGAGAGCGCGCGCTGGCAGTTTGGTGACTCGGCCGCAAAAGAAAGTGCATAGGTCCAGAGCCGCGGGTGGACCGCGGTGGTGATGTCAGTTTCCAGTCAGGTGAGCGTGGGATAGGCAGGGGGGTTCTTTGGTTAGCGTGTTTGGACTAGCCCCGGGGAGGTTGGCCATGTGGTTCCGGGGGGGTGAAAAGTTGAAGCCGCACAGATGGAGGATGGTGGTCAGTACCTGGCGGAATATATCAAACCATTCTTGATGTGGCAGTTTCGAGATGATCCCAAATTTAAGAAATAATAATAATAATAATAAACTAAAAATCATAATAATTAAAACATGAATATTCTAGATTCCCATTTTATTTCTTTAAATCAATGATCATCCAAGCGGACCTGCCGGGCGTTTAGTCACCTCAGTCTTGGGGGATGAGATGACACATGTTGGGGCTGGGGCGGTACGTTACTAACTGAGACCTTACCTCAGCCGCTAATTTTACCGCCTGTAACCGCGGGGCTCAGCCTCGTTAGACGCCAATTGACCTTATTCACGTCACCGGTCAGCATGCTGTAGCTGACTGAGCCACTGTGGTGATTGTATACAGAAGGGAATTGTAGCAGAATTCTAGAGATCAACTGATTTGTTCATTTTTTCTCCAACAGCCGTTAACACGTCGAAGAACTTTCGAAAACTTGTGACTTGAAACAGAAAGTAGTACTTGTAACGCGCTGATATCGTTGCAATGCAGTGAGGCGACTTTGCTTTAGCCTCTGGTCCCGCTGTAAAAATCTAAGCCTAAATTTGTCCCGAAACTGTTCCTGGGTGATGCTTGCGACCGATGAGCCGCCGATATTCTCTTGCCAGTTCTATCCGAGTCCTTCGCGAAGGTATTTTTTGATCTTATTTGCTGCAGCACCTGTATGCGCCGGTGCAAGCGTCTCCGAACTTCTTGCCGGAGCACGCAGGTGCGTTGTTGAGGTAGACAGTTTCCTGGCCGGGGTTGCAGGAATGAGGGTCGTCGCAAGCCAGACGGCCTTTAGAGAGGGCGCAGGTCGCTTTATAGGAGACATCATGACACCTCTGGGCGGCGACACCCCAGGCCAGCGCCATTGCTGCGAGAAGAGAAGAGTACTACATCTTGAAAAGGAGTGGAGTTTCTGCAGGGGAACGTAGAGATTATGAAGTAGGTAGTTGGACTAAGTAGTCGGAGTTGTATGTTGTCTTTGGTGCTTAGTGGGTGATGAGCCTAGGTGGAAGGGAGCATAACGCCAGTTTTATATCAAGGAACATGGAGAGATTCAACACGACGTATAGTCTTTAACGGACAAGAGATACTGTCCGTGATAATATTAAAATCCCTTGAAAGTCGAATATTTGTCTCGTTGAACCTGTTGATAACTTCCATTTTGGCATACTACTTGCTGCATTCTATCAAATGCAGTATTTCCTAAACTGTCAATTGGCCTTTGATACGAAGAGTTGAAGAACCCCCATTGCACAGAAGTGGGGGGAGCACTACAACACGGCGTTCAGACCGAACTCTAATTAACAAGTTGTGGTCTCACCATCATTCAAGCTTAATTAACATGAAATTAACATTCACATTGGACATTTCGCCTCAACTTTGCTTCACTTTAGCTTCGATAGTCACTACTATCCTGCGAGTCTTACGGTCAGCCACTTCCACTCCCCTCTCTGGTGCTGGTGCCGGTGCTGTGCCATTTCGAGGCGGTTCAATCAACCCCGAAAGCCAAACAGAGGGCGAGGATGGCCTGGAACAATGACAACACACATAGAGCACAGCCCGGCCACCATCTGCTGCAGTCATCAACAGAAGCACAGGGCGTCTCCGACAGCGACGTTACAGGTGTGTCCACACACCTTGGGTTGCGTCTTCCCTCTTTTTGTCTTGCGATGCGATATTGAGTCACGCCTCGTCTATCAACATCCGACATGGTGAGTATTTAGTCGCGCGCAACCATCTCACAGGCAGACGCAAGCCAGTCAACTTGAGGCATCGAGGACACATGGACTATCGTGCATAAAAGGACGGATCCAGAGCCCCGGGTACCAAGGCGTACGGAGACATTGAGGTAACAAGCAACGGGAGCTCCGACTAGGTAGTCTATCAGAGTTAAATGTGCTTGTTTATTTATTCGTAATTCCTTGGCCTTTTTTTATATAATTATATACATGAAATCTTGCACACTTCCTCGGTATCATGTTGAAGCCGAATCTCTTGCTCCTCGCGGAATACCTCTCAGAAATTCCAAACGACGCCAGTAATTGAAACTGTAAGGCCACCCTCTCTCCGGGAAGAATCCATTGCGCCCGGCGACTCCCCCACGCTGTATATAGAACCTCGTTCGCGCACCGCTTGGGATAGACGAGGGACAATCGGGGGGGCAAGCAACCAGAGACCAGCCAACTTTGGCTGCTGCACGCCCAGGCACATCGTTCCCAGCATCTGGGATATCCGAGGTGTCTGCATCGGACCAAATCAGTTCATGGGGGTGTTGGGAAGTACATGATAAAAAAGTAAAAGTAAGATGTGGTATTATAAAAACCGAACAAATAAAAATAATAATTTAATATTATTATTATTATTCTAGAGGTGAATATTCTGAGTGGTATGCCACCACCACACCATCATCATCTCTGGTCTGATTTGTTCTTGCCCCCACCGTTTTCCCCAGATAACGGAAACTGGAACGAACCAGCTAGGGCACTTGTGGAAGGTACTGTAGACAGCGGTAGTCCGTCAGTTGTACCTTCCTCTGGTAGCGCCAGCGGACCGCCGCCATAGCCTCCGCCCGCAACCCTCTTTCCTCTTACTACAGTGCACTTTTCCTGGTCTTTAGGCAGGCACAAGTACCCTATGCCAGCGCCAGCGCTGCCCCCCTCATCCCAAAAAAAAAAAAAAAAAAAAAAGAATACAAGAACACCAACCCAATTCAACTCCCGTCCCCTCACCGCTGGAAGGCTGACTTGGTCTTGCATTAACACCATGGTCACCAGGCCGTTTTTCTGATGTGTTGGCATTCTCCCTACACCCAGTGTCGCAATCTCTCACGAGAATCCCCCTCGAGGACCACAAAGCATCGTCATTAAACAGAATCATAAACTCACCACAACCATCAGACCATGATCAGCCTCGATGCCTTGCGATGAATCGGCTGACGAGGGGGAAAAAAAAAAACCAGGCACCCAACTCAGGTTTGCCATGACCAAAGTCGTATCCTTCGAAACATCGAGATGACCAAGGTGGAAGAAAGACGACGACAACAACAACTGCCACGACACACCAGTCAACCTGCATCGTTTTACCCCCCCGAAGTCTGATGACGGTACATTGTTCAAACTGGACAAAGTTGATGGTGGGCTGCCGTCAACGGTCGGGCACTACACACCAAGGCTGCAACCCCCGGCGAAACCTCCCTCTCCCTTGCGTTCCCGCCCGCCAGTCTGCCCGTCAGGTGAGAAGAGGAGCTTACAGGAGGGACACCAAGGACTGACCGAGTTTGTTCTCGCTCTGCGGCCTTGCGTTGACAGCTTGTGTCTCCGTCACGGGCCGTCCAAGGCGTCGCACCTTGTCCTATAGCCCATCTCCAATCCCTATCTCGGTCGGCTCTGCGCCTAGTCCACTTAACTTGCAGTCCGCATTGCTTCCGTCGCCTTCCCCGGACCACTGGTATTCAGTCATCACCTCGATACGAATTGCGCACGACACGCCAGATCGCATCGGTGTCACACCTTTTGGACGGAACGTCGTCTCCTTTCCACTCTTTATACACGCCGGCCAGCCCGCCCGCCCGCGCGCACTTACAAACGTTACGGTTCATGAGTTGCCGTTTCCTGCATCTCAAAGAGTTCGACATCCTGCCCCCTCCCACCATCCCCCATCGTGATACAACCTCCCCCCTCATCTGGTCTTGTGGCGCCTGTTGTGTTTCCATGGACTTAGTAAAAGTGTATTACCCTCCATACCTTTTGATCGACAGGTTCTAGATGAATGCATGGCTACCACTGCCGTCCAAGGGCCCAGTGTTACGGTGGGCTGCTGATACCCCCCTCCGCCGCCACGATTTTCGGAGGGGACCCAACGGCAGGCTCTCGTCGCCGGTCATTCGGCGCCCGACATGTGTAACGAGATGCGGGCGGAGGAGGAGACGAGATGAGGCGAAACAAAATGGCCCTCGGTCCTGCGGCCGGATTGTCGGTGTGCGTCCAGTTCGGCAGCTTGTCTCGTCACGTTCGCATTTTATCTGCAATGTCACGGTTTGGTTGCTCGCGGTGCATCCGCCTCGAACCCAAAGGGGTGGACGTCTTCGTCAACAATTGTTAGTACTTTGTATTGTTGGGCAGCGACCGAGCCACCCCCCTCTTCGTTGGCTTTTGGGGCTGCTTTCGGTGTCTGGGACTGCTTCTCCCCGGAATCATCAACCTCCCCTAAAACCATACCAAACTGCACTGGGCATATCTCGCTGGTGAGAGACACGCCAGCTCATCTGGGCTTACTTCTAATCCGGAGTGCTGTTTCCGATTCGAGCACAGGACTTCCGGTGCCTTGGAAAGTTATCCCTCCATCGTCACGTTGGCTGGCGTTGGGCATACTTTGAATGTCTTTGTCCTGCAATATTGAGAGTCACATTAACGTCACCGGGTCTTAGCGAAGGGGTACCCAAATGCTTGGTTGTGTTGAGGCTCCGGTAACCGTGTCACTATGTCTCGTGAGATCGTCATCAGTCAAGAAAAGCAAAATAACCATATTTTTATTAAACATGTAATATTAATTAAAATCCAATATATTAGTTTATTATTGTCGGCTTTCTCGATGTCGCATGGTCTCACCTGCATAACGCCGATTGAGTGGCGCATGCTTAATTCTGGTTTCCTCCGATGTTGAAGACGGTATTGAAGATACGGGCGCACGGCGTCCAGTTATCTTTTGGCTGAACAGTTACCGTATTCTTCGAAGCTCGACTTTCATGAACTGGCCAGTCTTTGAAGTTTAGGTAAGCGAACCGACTGCCTAGAGTCTTGGACGAACATGGATACCTCTAGAAGCTTGATTACATCATGTAATTCCTCATGGGTGTCAACTGTCCAGAGATATTATTTGCACGTAATATGATTGCTTTGTAAGACCTGTCCATGGTTTCCGCCGGCTTTGCGACTGCAGATATCTGACGATGAAGATGAACGTGAATAGCGTCAGTCTCTGAATGTTGGGGCCACTGATTGTAGAGCAGCCAGCCACTTACTGGGTTGTACCGGGCGGCAAAGATTACGGCGCAAAGAGAACTTAGTATTACCTAAGCGTCAGACAATTACAATAGAAGTAAAGCACATATGCAAGCCCTACCAATGAAACATGGGGAGTCACATTAGAAGCGTTCGGTTGATTTCCTATTCTATTCTGTTGTAAGTTGTTAGCCCAATCCAGACGATGAGTCGACCGGTGATTGCCCCACTTGATTACTGTAACCGACAAAGAAGGGTAACTCTCTAGCATATCGCCACCCAGACTCAAGCAGTTTCTGTTAAAGAAGCACAAGCCATTTGCCCCACTCTGACTCACGTCGACTCATCAAGCATGCAGACTGAGCTGAGCGGAGCTGCATCTCGGATATTCCACCACAGCCATCCTGGCCCATTCATCGCCACATCGAGCCAAACCATCAAATACGACGGCCTTTCACCCTTCGTGTCGGAAGATTGGAAGGCTTCTGTCCGACAGCTACTCGGTAATCATCGCTCGCCACACGACAAGCACTGCTCAACCCTGCAGTTACTTTCCGTTGTTGTTTTTGTTTGCATTTCGCCAGTTCAGCTCATCACATTACGAAACTTGAGCATTTTCTATTTTCATCACTCCCCTCCCCAAAAGCAAGCCCATTATGATATCCATCACCCAGCAGGGCGGCAACACCCACCAACAGGCCATCCCCCGGCCCCGCAACGACCGCGTCGTCCCTAAGCCTGTCCCCGAGGCCCAGTCCAAGGATCCCCGCGGCTACCAGCTCGGCCAGCTGCGTAAGCGGTACTCGCCCCGCGAGTCCACCGCCGAAGACGGCACTACTTCGCTAGTTTTCAAGCTTAAGCCCTCCGACCCGGACTTCCCCTTTGAGCTGGAGTACCTTGACTGCGAACTCCGCGTGCCGGAGGACTTCCCAGAGGCAACCCCCGTGCTACGCGTGCGGAACAGCGATATCCCAAGAGGATTCAGCATCAACATCGAACGAGGATGGGACAGACTCGTTCGCGAGCGCAAGGGCGCCACCTTGCTCTCGCTCACCCACGCCCTTGACAAGAACCTTGAGGTATTCTTGTCTGAGCAAAAGGCTGACACGGTGAAGTTGGTATCTTTTAAGGATACCAAAGACACCCGCCACCTCGAAGCAGCAGCAGCCGCCGCGGCCGCTGCATCATCATCAACGCCCGCGGTACAGATCACCAAGGCGCCATCCCCAGAATCAGCACCCGTCAGGCGCTATGCGCCCGAAGAGTACTTTACTCAAGAGGAGATGGCAGCCGCTAAAGCTCGCCGTGCGCAAGAGACGCGGCAACTGGAAACCCGCATGGGTCGTTTGTCCCTGTATCGCCGTTCCCCAGACGGTATCGTGTACACTCTTCCTCTCGAGCCTCGCCGCCGCAGCGAGCTCCCTTCCGATCTCCAGGGTGTGAAGACGGTGCACCTTATCGTACCACTTCTCTACCCACTTCAACCTCTTCGCATCCAGATTAATGAGTGCGAATCCCCAGACGTGGAGCTAGTCGAGGAGCTCTTCGTACAAAAGGCCGCCGAGCAGAAGCAAATGACGCTCACAAGCCATATCAACTACCTCGCGCAGAACATGCACGTCCTCGCGAAGCAGGCGCTGGCGCAGCGCAAACCTGCGACACCGGAGCCCGCCTCCGTTCCCGAAAAGGACACCGAGGCAAAGGGCTCGGCTCCGGCCAAGGCCGCGGCCGATGCCGATCGGAGCCACATTCAAGTCATCCCCCGGCCTCCGGAGTGGAGCCGCGTCCGCGGTGCAAACGACGACGACGACGACGACACCTCAGACAGCTACGACTCTGAAGACGAATCAGAAGAGGGCGGCGCCGACCTTTCCGCCGAACCGCCCACGTTATCTTCCGGTCTCACTGCTGAGAGGGGCACCTCCATCTCCTTCCCAGACATTGAGCTTTACAGCATCGAGCTCTTCCAGGTGTCCATCCTCAACATCAGCGTGAAATGCTCGCGCTGCAAGACGATCAACGAGATCACGGGTCTCAAGCACGAGGCTCCCCAGAACTCCAGCTGCAAGAAGTGCGCCACGGGTTTCGCGGCCCAGTTCCGCCAGCAGCTCGTCCACGCCAACTCGACGCGCGCCGGCTTCATCGACCTGACAGGCTGCACCGTCGTCGACATGCTCCCGAGCACCTTCGTCCCCGTGTGCGCCAAGTGCTCGACGTCGAGTCAGGGTCTCGTGGCGGTCCGCGGCGACGCGACCACCAACGTCTGCCGTAGCTGTCACGGCAAGTTCACCTTCAAGATACCGACGGTGAAGTTCCTGGCCATCAGCGCCGGCGGCCTCGCGGCCCCCAGCACCGGCCCCGTCAAGAAGACGGAGAAGCTGGGTCTGCACGCGGGGACGCCCCTCCCGGACCGCGGCGCCTGCTCGCACTACCGCAAGAGTTACCGCTGGTTCCGCTTCTCGTGCTGCAGCCGGGTGCACCCGTGCGATCGGTGCCACGACCACGCCGAGGACCACGTGAACGAGTGGGCGAACCGGATGATTTGCGGCTGGTGCAGCCGCGAGCAGCGGTACTCGCCTGATGCGTGCGCGTTCTGCGGCAGGAGCGTCATCGGGCGCAAGGGACGAGGCTTCTGGGAGGGCGGCAAGGGCACGCGGGATCGCAGACTGATGAGCCGCAAGGACCCGAGGAAGTTCAAGAGGGTCGGCGGCGGGGAGGCTACGAAGAAGGATTGAAGAAAAGAAGCAGTCTTTCGCAAATGGGTTATTTTTAAGGGGGTTCATGTGTCTGAGACCACGGGTCTGAGATGTGTGTGTGTGTGTGTATGTGTGTGTGTATTTTACTACCATATCATTAGCCAGCAAGATACACCAACCCTTTTGCAACCCCCCATCAATTTGTTTCTGTTTGTTTCAGTGATATATTTGCTATGATAACTCTCCGAGCGGCTATCCTATACCCTCATGACCCGGACGCGACGTTGACAATTGCCGCTGCGCCCTCACCCACCCACCCATTTAAACGGACAAGCGCGTCGGAGCCGGGGAGCACACGGTAGGCGGTTGATGGCCGGACGGGATTCGTTTGTGCATCGTCATCTTTTGTGCAACGCCGCCAGGCACAATCTATTTTGTGACGGTGCTGTTTTGCGGTGTGTGATTGGGTTAAAATGGAGAGGGGGAACTGGTCGTTCACATGAGCTACGCGGTGTTCGATTTGCGATTGGGGGCAAATGTTGGACGGCTGGAGGTGAAGAGGTGTATTGTGGTTTGTTTTATTGGTTGGGGGATGTAAGCGCTTCTTTTTCTTCATCACGTTTGGAGAGGGACTATCAGGAGGTGATCACAATAAAATATAAAATAATAATAATAATAATAATAATTAAATATTCAGAATAAACAAATCGCCACTACTACATCTAGCAAAATAATCATTATTTGTTAAACATATAAAAAGAAAATGTATATTTCACAGCAATGTCTCCGTTTCCCCTTGCCATCCCATGCCACCCTCCCACCGATCCCGTCCCCAACCGCCACGCCACAATCGCACCAACGAGCACCGGCGAAATTAAAGAATCTCTTTTTCCCCCTCTCAACCGATCGAAAAAAGAGCTTTACCCCAAGAGCAAGAAAGACCGTCAGCCAACGTGAAACCAGGGTCTAGACGATAGTCAGATGTTGAAGGAAAGGGAGGGGTGTGAGGTAAAGCAGGCAAAGCGAGGCAAAGCGAGGCAGCGCGCATTCAGCGTGAGAAAGAGCGAGCATTAACAAAAAATTCCCACGAATCGCAAAAGATATATCCTGCCACCAAGGTTCATTTCGTCCGGCACGCCGGGGCCCCGGAAAGACGACCCCGGAGAAGGAGGGAGGAGGAGGGGGGGTTCCCAACGGGCTGGATTATATTATGGGGCGCGCTAGTTTGCTTCCGGAGGTCGGGTCCGTGCTTTCGTTTTTTTGGTTCCATGTCGTCTTCCCTTTTTCACATGGCTCTGTTGCAGAAAGAACCATCTTTTGGTTCATAGGTCTGGACCTTTTTTTGCAAGATGAGGGTACAGCAGGAGGAATCGATGGATGTTACCCCTTGAAAAATTATACCCCCTTGTCGGCACGCAGCATGCGGGATGCAATGCGGGCATGGGAGATGAAATGTTTGAGTGACAGGTTCGTGCGGGGAAAGATGGCCACACGCATCTGGAGAAACAGGTCCCGCGAGAGGAGCAAAAGGATTCAAGGCCTGGACTTTCGGGGCAAGTCCCTCCTTTCGACATGTAGTTCCTAATCGATGTAGGAACGTGTTGGTTCAATCTCTCTTTCTCTCTCTCTCTCTCTCTCTCTCTCCCCCGCGCTCACCGTATAGAGTACACCGGTGTGCAAGGGGGCTTTCGTATTGGGGCTAGTATATATGCCAGTTACCCGCAACTCACCCCCCCCCCCCCCCCTCCTTCTCACCGAAGCATACGTTATATCCGACATTGGACACATTGCGAACTTGTCTTCCTTTGGGGGGGTTTTTCCTCCATGGTGGACTTTATTCGGCCTAATCTTGGTGTTGGAAATTGTAACTAGCTAATGTACGCCCTGGGCAAAAATGTCTTTGCCTGAAGCAACCCGGTTCTTTTGGTTGTTTGTTCCATTTTCCGTGCCGTTGTCGCCCCCAGGGTTTTCTTTAGCCTGTCAGACTGGTAGTTTTTCCATCCATGGGCGATGGAGCTGTCTTGGCTTGGATAGCTTCCCCCAACGCGAGGCGTACCTAGCTTCCCCGGCTGTCTCTAGTCGTCCATCAACGTTCAAGCCCTCTCAAATCCGACAAAGTCTAGCGAGTGTTAGTTTGGCAGCCACCCAGAAACAGAAAGAACATAGTGTAAAGACAGCATGCAGGTGTGAGGGTGAGATGGCAAGCCAAGGCAACTATGTCTTGACCATCCTACCCAAAGGTTTCCATTCATCGCAAGCCCGGTGTGAGCACTTGTGAACAAGGCCAAACTATCATTCATCAGCCCTGAGAGCTACAGCAGCCACCCGAACGACCCGGGAGACTACCCAAGAATCCTGGATGCCAATCTCCAGAAAAGACATTGCCCCCCCTCCCCCCATGTACTCGTCCGGCGCACCGCTCTGACGTCCCCGGGGGGGTCACTTCGCGGGCTGGACACACCACCAAATTTCGGCCGCTGCGTTCCGGCGCGTGCGGATTGGTCGTCTCCACGGTCGGCATCTCGCTCCGGTTGCTGGTCCCGCGTCGATGCAACCACTTCGCTCACGCGCTACCTCCCGCGTCCTTTCCGTGGAAAAAGGAAGCAGGTACCATTAGTAGCGGTTTCTTGGGTCTGCGGGGATCATCGAACGGAGCGGCCTGGCCGTCATGCCGTGCGGCTCAGCTACCCCCTTCCCCGCCTTTAGAGCCGTCTCCCCATTGCGCCTCCATTCTAGCTTTCAATTTATTGATTATTTTATTGGAGTTTGTTATTTCTTAAGTTCCCCCGCGGCAGTTACTATGCCAGAGCTCGAGGGTAGCCTGCGAACGTCTCATTCACCTGACGAGAGCGGGCGGCGGGAATCATGTCTTGGTTGCAATAGCGTTGATCGTCATTCCTATGATCGGCCTGGGATCCCGACTTTTTCCTTTAACCGTGCTATACAACATGGCACTTTCCCCTCAATATAAACAGAGTTGGTCGGCTCGACTCGTCGTGATTAATAGTTTTACACCCTCTAGATCATCGTATACGAGGTAGTAGCTTTTACCCCAGGTTCACATCTGTACCCTAGGTTGCAATATGTCTCGTCTATACCGTAAACATACTCCTTCGACTCAGTCGAAAAATCCGTCAAAAAAGCTCGTGAAGATGATGTCGCCGCAATGGCCTGCATGTTGCGCTTCGGCGACTCGCAGATCAAATATTACTTTTCAACGCCCATGAGTCGCCGTGCTCCTCCCAATCGTGTATTAGCCAGTGTCATCTAACCACTCAAACAACAAGAAACATCAAAAAAGATGCAATTTGACGTCGAGATCGTCCATCAGCGTCAGGAACACAAGCATGTGAAAAGCACACGCACACACGACACACACACACACAATACCTTCCCCCTCGTCCTCCCCCCTCATACTCTATCCCAGCATGGACGAAGCAATCTCGACGTCGCGACAGGAGGGGCCGCAACACACGAAGCAGTCAGCCAGCAGCATCATCGACATGTGAATTGCCCCAAGCTCCGCCGTCATGAATCAGCCGCAAGGACCCTTCTCAGTTCGCAAAAAAAGAGATAAAGAGATAAAATAAAATCTACCAATCTTCATCCGGTGCTAAGCAGCAGTCGTCACCCGGGGAACCCCATGATCGCCTTCCCCCCCCCCCCCCCCCCCCCCCCTCCTCCTGGCTTCCGGTATATTCCCTCCGATCGACATACATCCGTCACCCATCAAACCATATTCGTATACAACCTCTCTCGTCTTCGTCCCATCGTGAGCAAGGAGAGGCTGACAAGTTGGTGGAATATCAGCGAGCGATTCGTCGAGGTTGTGACTCGCCCTGCCCTTCTGTCCCTATTCCTTCCGCGCCTCTACCACACACACACACACACACTATACGTAGTGGTACACACGCCGTCGATGTCGCATCTTACGTACGCAGCGTCAACCACAAGATCAAAGTCTTCAACTTCAGACGACGATCAAGCCCATGGGACATGACTCCACTCTCCTCCCCAACACCCCCGCCCGCACTCCATCATGCGCATGCAGGAACGCGTTCGACGTGGAGGAGGTGTTTTATGCGGCGAGAGGTCTGGACCGGTGGCACTCGCTTTCTCTCACACACACACACACGTGCTGCGGTTTTGGGAGGGGTGGTTTCGACCTCTAATTTTTTTTTCTTTTTCTTTTTCTTTTTCTTTTTATGATAACGGGGGATTAGCAGGTACCTGCATACGTACGTTTGTAGCATCGACGAGTTTCTAATTGTAGTGTGTCTAAGCACGCGCTCGACTCCATTCCATAGTCTGTAAAATAAAAAAATCCATGTATACCGTATTTCGTCAACTGTAGCCGCTGGGGAGGAGGGGGAGGCTCTCTTCCCGATTCGGCAATTCTAACCACGCAAAGCGATTCTAGAGCCGCCTCAAGATCAATTGAACAAGAAGAGTACTAGTAAGCAGTACACTTCCCCCATTTCCCGAAAATTCAGACCGTAGACGACGGAAAATATCATGGTATATCCCGAGAGGTCGGTAATTATCCCGACCTGCTTTCCCTCATGGCCTCAACCCCGCACATGGTTAGCAGTGGCAGAGCCTCCAGAGTTTGGAGTGTGTTAAGCATGACAGGTCGGCATGAACCCGGGCGTTACGGGGTTTGAAATGCTCTCTCTCTCTATCTCATGGTCAGCAGCATTCCCCGAACCCTGACAACGGATTCTTTCCCGCCCAAATCTTTTTTTGCCTGCCGGCTTTTAGGGGAGGGGGGTGTATAATCATATGCCCAAAGAGAGCCTCCCATTATTCTGCCCGCCCGCCGGAGAAGCTGGCTGTCAAAACTCCCCATATTCAAGCTCATCATCCTGCTGATCAGGCGCTTCCCCTTCTCCGCCTCTTGACGCCCAACGAACACCCCGTCCCCTCTATTTCGTTTGGGCCTATAGGTCGTATGCGGTACCCTAACGTGGATGGGGACAACGACAGGTAACCCCCTTGTATCCACGTACGCTGAAGAAAAGAAGAGAAAAATAATTCAG